CTGTGTAACCACTACCACAATCAAGAAAAAGGACATTTCTAGCACCCCAGAAAGTTCCCTCGTGTTCCTTCATAGTCAGTTCTTTTCTGTTCCCTGGCTGATTTCCCCTTTTTAGAATTTCATGTGTAAATGGAACCATCCAATCTGCATGATTTGCTGTCCGGCTTGTTTCACGCAGCATGTTTTTTGGATTCATGCACAGTGTGCCATCCGTGTGTTAGTGCTAGGCAGCATTTCGTCCCCTATGTCCCACAATGTGCCTATATATTCACGTGTTGAACGTTTGGGTTGTTTCCAGCTTTAGGCTGCTTTGGACATAGCTGCTATAAACATTCACGTATCCGTGTTTGTGTAGACAAACGATTTCATTTATTCTGGGTAGGTCGTTTGGAGTGGAATTGTTGGGTTGGATGGTAATCATATGTTGAATTTATAAGGAAGTGCCAAACTGTTTCTATCGTGGCTGTAACATTTGACATTCCTGCCAGGGAAGTATGAAAATCCAATTGCTTCACAGCCTCTCTCGCACCTCAGGCTTTCTCACTTTAGCCATTTTGATGCATGTATAGAGTAATGGCTTACTGTGGTTTTAATTTGCATTTCCTAGTGACTTTTTACGAGTTTACTGACAACCATACATCTCCTTTTGTGAATCTGATTAAATTCTTTGCCCATTTTCAACTGGGTTGTCTGCCTTCTCATTGATTTGTAGGAGTTCTTTATATTTTGGGGATATATTCTTTTTTAGATATGTATGTTTGTAGCTTGCATTTTTAAATCTCTTAATGGTATCTTTTGAAAAGCAGCTTTAACTGATGAAACTACAGAAAACTACATTTAAAAAATGGTGCTGTGAACTCCAAATACATTTATAGCTTTCTCGTTGCCATCCAAAAATTCTACAAATGTTATCCGACAGGAAACAGAGAAATTTTAGGGAAGTGCCCACTTATAAAGCCTTTCTCCTAAAATTAAGTGGGGTTAATAGTAATATTTGGCTGGGCGTGGTGGCTCACGCCTGTAATCCCAGCACTTTGGGAGGCTGAGTCGGGCGGATCATGAGGTCAGGAGTTCAAGACCGGCCTGACCAACATGCTGAAACCCCGTCTTTACTAAAAATACAAAAATTAGCTGGGCTTGGTGACATGCGTCTGTAGTCCCAGCTACTGGGGAGGCTGAGGCAGCATAATCACTTGACCCAGGAGGCAGAAGTTGCAGTGAGCCAAGATTGTGCCACTGCACTCCAGTCTGGGTGACAGAGCAAGACTCCGTCTCAGGAAAAAAAAAAAAAAAAAAAAAAAAGTAATATTACACAGTTTCTCATGGATCATCAGCTAACTCCTTTGGTGGGAAAAGCAGATGCTTTACAAGAAATAGGTACTAATTCTACTTCCCATTCTATTTTTTCTTTACGTAGTAGATAAAGACCATTAAAGCAACCAAATAGTACACTATTGTCTACTACATTGTTTGGGCTGCTACGTTTCAGGCACTATGCTAAAATAATTAATCCTCATGGAGACTCTGTGAAGTAGATGCTTCTGTCTTCAGTATTCACACACTCGGGGAAGGACAGTGAGTTCAGAGAAATTAAATACCTCGATGAACTTCACACAAAGAGATGGCTAAGTTGTGGTTCCAAGCTAGGACTAACACCGAAGCCGGGGTTCTTCGTTACTATGCTGTACCTGTTCAGGACATGTACAAATCCAATCACGGACCTTTGGTTTTAGATTTCGGCAGGTTGTAGAGGGAGTAGAGGCTGAGGAGACGAGGAAAACGACTGGGTCTGGACCTTATTTGTGCCGGGGCTCTTCCTGCCTCCAGTCCCTAATCACCTACATAGGGTGTATAACTTCATGAGGGTCAGCGTAGCCAAGCCAACTGAACCAACTTAAATCCATTCAGAAGCAGAACTGCTTCAGCTATTCTAACCAGTTAACAGGCCATTCAGCTTATCACACGCTCTGCGGGAATTTCAGGAGATCCTTCTTTTGTTAAAGAATTTTGGAGCCTGACTTCCTCAAACTATGCTAAGGCTTGATCTAACATTTCACAGGGAATCAGTACTTTCCTTCCTGCCACTTACGTCAGACCTCATTCAAGTCATGCAGTTATTTGGAATTTTATCCTTGTGATTAACACGATTTATGCTCAACTCTCTCTTGAAATCTTTAATGCACTCTTACGTTCCAACTTGGCAGATGTGAAATTCCTTTGGTTTACCGAGGCTGCGAGTCTGGGACTTTGGCAGTCTCATATCGGTAGGCACACATTCTAATAAGGCCCTTCCGTCTACTTGATGGCCTGAGTGGATGTTATTTGGCATAGCAAACACCAAATACTCAGTTAAGTTATAACTGCTTTAATAGCAATATGGTGTCTACTGTTGTATAATTCTACTGAATTCTGAATCTTTGGGTTTTCCTTTTTACAGTTAAATGTTGCACTTGAAAATCCAGATGATCTTGACTAGTCAGACCGAGATGAATTAAGAAACTGTGTATAACCTATTAGAGGTTATGCACTTAACGATAAAAGACAAATCTGTGTTTGTCCTCTTCTTTAAAAATCAAGCACCAAGGCCAGGCGTGGTGGCTCAGGCCTGTAATCCTAGCCCTTGGGGAGGCCGAGCCGGGCGGATCATGAGGTCGGGAGTTCAAGACCAGCCTGACCAACATGGTGAAACCCTGTCTCTACTACAAATACAAAAATTAGCGGGGCACGGTGGCATCGACCTGTAATCCCAGCTACTCAAGAGGCTGAGGCAGGAGAATTGCTTGAACCCAGGAGGTGAAGCTGAGATTGCACCACTGCACCCCAGCCTGGGTGACAGAGCAAGACTCCATCTCAAAAAAAAAAAAAAAAAAAAAAAAAAAAATCAAGCACCAAAACAATACTTTAGTTTTAGAATGCATTAGTATGCTATTCAATTGCATTGTAGAAGGAAAAAGTAAATTAGAAAGAAAGCGGTAGTTACGTGTGCTTAAAAATGGGCTGTTTTCAACCGAGGGAAAAAGGGACCCTTTCACAAAGGCTAGTGCTTTTTTTTTTTTTTTTAATTTCAAAAGAATATTTAAAAGATAGTTAAAAGACTTTCAAGTCTTTTAAGAAATGACAGTTAGAAAAGAATTCTGCAGCCTTTTCTTTTATTATAAACTATAACAGGAGGTAAAATCTGCAATTTTCTGAGATTTTGTCCCATTTAAACTCCCAAAATGTTTCTTATTTTTAAGCCTGAAAAACACTGAAACACCTTTATCCTGAGAAGTTTGTGTCATGTTCATATCTGTCCTGACCCTCCCACAATCCACTATTTGATTATTAGAGGTAATTGGCACTTAGCATGAAATCTTTAATACACTGACATCTAAGTATCGAATTGTCTTACTATCAGACAGAAATTTAGACTTCTTATAAAGCTTCTATGCTTATTTGATGGTTACTACTTAGAATTAAGGCCTCAATAATCATAAAAACATTCCAATAAACGTTTCAGATATAAAAGAAATTTAAGCAATATTATTAAACATCAGGATAAAAAATGACAACAGCCATGTCTTCCTCTCTGAACGTATCCCCTAAAAACACTCTCCTGGAAAAAGTTTCTCATTAGAAATAGTTATGAATATATTGTCTGTGCTTCATGAATAAGAACTAATTCATGGAGAAGAATAAGTAGGTATTGCCAGGAAAACCCAGAAATGAGCTGCAAATATAAAAAACAGGAAGTCGGATAAAATATATACACTAAAAAGGGAGAAAAGACATAAAAATAACATACTCTGTTTCTTTGGAATCTTCTTTTCGAAGTGCTTTACAAATCACCACATTCTTATGGTATTTTGTGAGTTAAGCAGATAGTTAATATTCTTGGTATTTGGCAACTCAGATCATAAAGAAGTAAAATACCCTAAATTATCCACATCCCTTGAGCTTACACCTGAGGCAGTAAGAGAACCCACATCCCAGGACTCAGCTTCAGTACTTTGTCCACGCTCTTCTCCTCTGTCCATGGTGCTCTGCTAGGGGGTGTGGATGGCCATCCCACCCTACAGGGGTTAGCTGGGCCAACTGAGAAGGGGCCATGACAAAGAATAGCTTAGGCATCACTCGACATCAGGCATAGAAAGAGAACAACTAATGAGTAAGAAGAGTCAAGTGATATTGATCGGTGGCTCCCCTAGGGTTGAATTCAGAACATGTTCTGCTGTCTCCTGGGTGCCAAGTTTTGACAAAAAGGGCAAAGGACAACTTGAACAATGTGGGGTGGGCGGGTGAAATCTCCATTCATTGTTGTTCACGTGGGAATGGAGTGCTCAGAATGAGGCAGATCTTGACAAGGCTCCCTGCCAGTAGCAGCCTCTTGTTTCTTATCAAAAACCAAATACTCAGTCCTTCCTTCTCTTCACCGCTGGGGTTGGAAAGTATTGGGAGAACACGTTGGTACCAGGGGCAGAGATACTGTGTGAAGAGGACCTTTGTCCTTAATGGGAAAAAACAAGACAATAAAAAGAGGAGATTCAAAGGAAAGACAAAAGCTTAAAAGTTGGAAAACAGAAAACAGACTAAAGGAAAAAGAAAAAGGAAGAGAGTGGCCCTGGGTCCAGAAAACACCAATTTTTTTTTTTTTTTTTGCCAGAGGGTGGGAGGAACAATGTAAAGGAAACACACACACACACACACGCACACAGACACACGCGCGCGCGGGCGCGCACACACACACGCGCGCGCACAGACACGCGCACACACACGCGCACGCACACACGCACACAGGCACACGCGCGCACACACTTCAAGAAGCACCTGTAAGGAAAGAGTAGCACAACCCACATATTCATCAGCAGGGGTTGGGTGAAATACATTATGGTACATCCATACAATAGAATACCATATAGGCTTTTAAAAAGATTTAAGTATACAAATAGTAGATATTTTAGATATCTATCAATCACGGAAAGCTAAGACTGATTTACTGAAAAAATGAAATGGCAGAGTAATTTTAAAATATAATTTTATTCTAAAAGTAATAATATAGGTTAGTATATGTACAGAAAAGAATATGGAGGATGAAGCGTCAAGCAGCCAAAGGCAGTTACTTCTGGGGAGAGAAAGAGAGAAGTAGAAATTATTGGGGAAGGCGATTATGGTTTATATGACACATTTTTGTGTTACTTGAAACTTTTAAAGATAAAAATTATACCATTTCCATTGTGTGTTAGGAAGAAATCACCAACAAGTGTAGAAATAAGTTCTACTGCAAAGAAGAAACATAGTACACAGGTTAAAAAAAGAACATTTTGTAATTTGCAGCAAAAGTTAACATAGAGGTAATCTATACACCGAGGTCTGTATCTGTGAAATAGCGATCCCAAAGGAAGAGTTTTCATTTCTTTTTTTTTTTGAGACGGAGTTTCGCTCTTGTTACCCAGGCTGGAGTGCAGTGGCGTGATCTCGGCTCACTGAAACCTCCGCCTCCTGGGTTCAGGCAATTCTCCTGCCTCAGCCTCCTGAGTAGCTGGTATTACAGGCACGCGCCATCATGCCCAGCTAATTTTTGTGTTTTTAGTAGAGACGGGGTTTCACCATGTTGACCAGGATGGTCTCGATCTCTTCACCTCGTGATCCACCCTCCTCGGCCTCCCAATGTGGAGGCCTGAGCCACCGCGCCCGGCCCGAGTTTTAATTTCATTTAAAGAATGTTTGCCTGAAATTGACATGAGTGATGAATTTTTAAAAGGTGAAAATTATGGTTATAAAAGGGTTCTCTATTGTACTTTATGAGCTCTACAACTGAATATTAGATATAATTCTAACTTACCGATTGAGGTAATTAATATTTTTCAGTAATTGAATATTTTCTTCTGGTCAACTTGAATATTCTCTTCATATTTGGGTAAATCTCATAAAGTAACTCTAATTGCTTTAATTTAAAGACAGTCCTTCCAACAAGAAACTCATAAAGTTCTAAGAGGAAAGGGAGAGCAAGAAAATTTTACAAATTTATATTGAAATATATGAACAGAATATTTTATGAACATGTCTTTATGAAATACATGAACAGGTCTTTAGAAAACAGCAGAATTTGGAAGCCATCTAACTGGACTGCAACAGTCAACCTACATAGACGGGTCCAACTGCTGTACCTTTTTTTTTTCTGTCGCCTAGGCTGGAGTACGGTGGTGCAATCTCTGCGCACTGCAGCCTCTGCCCTCTGGATTCAAGCGATTCTCCTGCCTCAGCTTCCCAAGTAGCTGGGACTACAGGCACCCAACACCACGCCCAGCTAATTTTTTGTATTTTGAGTAGATTCAGGATTTCACTGTGTTAGCCAGGATGGTCTCGATCTCCAGATCTTGAGATCCATCCGCCTCGGCTCCCAAAGTGTTGGGATTACGGGCGTGAGCCACCGCGCCTGGCCCAACGGCTGTAACTTTTGAAGTAACTAGACTCGGTTACATGCGAAACATACAGGAATGATAATTTCACATGGGAGTTTGGACATTCCTCCATTTATCATTTAGGAAAAGCCCTTTGTGAAATCAGACCAAGAAGCCATCCAGGGCATTGTGAAATCTCAGCCACAGCCACACCAAAAAGAAAAAAAAAAAAAAAAAGTGTTAATCTCTTGCTGTGTACAAAATCACACAGAAGCTATGCTCCAGTTTGTCTGCATGTGGCAGTCAGGTCAGATAGAATTCTATTTAATACGGCCGGGCACGGTGGCTCACGCCTGTCATCCCAGCACTTTGGGAGGCCGAGGCAGGTGGATTGCTTGAAGTCAGGAGTTCGAGACCAGCCTGGCCAACATAGTGAAACCCCGTCTTTATTAAAAAAAAAAAAAAAAAAAATTCTATTTAATAGGATGTCATCAACAACCCACTCACATAGAGCTGGGGCCCTGTCCCACATTAACTGAAGCGTAAGATGAATTGTCTAAGACGGAAAAACGTACATGTATTTAAAATATGATTTTGGAAGCGTCTGAAGGCTTGTCTCACCATTTCAGGCTGAAGTAAAACTTCCGAGACATTTCTCCCCATAGTATTGTAAAATTAGAGGCCCGGCAGGAAAGAAAACGCTAGGATGAGGAAGTCAGTCCGGGGTCGGGGTGGGGGATCGTTAACACCCAGAACGGTGCGCGGAGGCCACAGGCCACGGTCCCCTTCCGCCATCAGGAGCCAGGCGAGGCACTAGGGCAACCCAGCGGGAGACGCGGCTCTCAGATGGGAAGCAGTGCTGGCTGGAAGCAACTCAGTCCGTCTTGTCTGGTGACAACAGTTACGGAACGGACACCACAGGCGCAGGGGACTTGGGAGATAACTAAACACACCGCTCCTAGGCCACTTAGTTTCTCAACAGGCCCCAGGGCCCCACCCGGGTTACCTTCCCAGCGTGCCCCGCGCCTTTCCCGGCGTGCCCCGCGCCTTTCCCGGCGTGCCCCGCGCCTTTCCCGGCGTGCCCCGCGCCTTTCCCGGCGTGCCCTGCGGCCGCCCCCCCAGCTGCTCTCCCAGAAGCCTCCGGGCGCCCCTCCTCCTCCTGCAGCTTCCCCCAAGACTTGGATGCTCAGGCGGGAGCTGTCCAGCCCCTGCATCAGGAAGAGGGCTTGCTTGCGTGTGGTAACCACCTTCCTTAACGTGAGATTCCCCCAGGTCCCATAAATGCTAGGGACATCTCCCTAACCCCCTCCCATTCCATGTGCCCTTCAAAATCCTGGGAAACCTTTGGCCCCAAGGCTTCCCACCTGAGAACAAGTCTCACTTCCAAAAGTCAGTCGACCTCAGGTTAAGCTGCCTAGGGAGAACACCTGCTCAGGATCAAAACGTTTCCTCTTCTTTTTTTTTTTTTTTTTTTTTTGTAGAAATCTTCAGCTTTGTCCTGTCTTGAGCTATTTATTATTCACTAATTGCTTTGTTCCCAAGTACCTCAAATGGAATCAAATTCTGCAGAAACCGAGTTTCACTGTGTCTGGAGGAACAAGGAATGCAAAGGGAGTGTGAGGAAATGAACTACCCACCTTTTCCAGCGCAGCGTCGTCGTGCTGAATACAAACTTTACCCAATTGTATTGTTGATACTATGAGCGTGTGACATCAAGAATTTAGAATTTATAGAGTAATTTATGTGTTCATTAACGAGCTTGACTCTAGAAATAATCCTGTTGGTTGGTGGATTAATTGTGGTTGTCCTGCACATTTTATAAATAAACAATCTGTGAGAGCTTAGGAGACTTGCTGAAGCTTCCTGTGTAGTAAGTAGCAGAAGTAAGGGCTCAAACCCAGGATCTCTCACTTCATTTCCCATGTTAAATTTTTTTTTTTAAAGTCATGAAATTATTATTCAAAGCCCTTCATTTATTTGTGCTTATTTTGAATAATATAAATAAAGAACTATTCTATGATGTTTTTGGTTAATATAAAGGACTATTCTATGATGACAAATATCTTTTTTTGAGGATAGTCTGATTAAAAAAAACAAAATGCATCCATATATAGAGATACTGTCGATACAGAGCTATATATATATAGAGAGAAAGAGAAATATATATAAGTGTACAATATGGGAAAGAGTTGTAGGGAAAGAAAGAGAGAAAAGGAGAAGGGGAGGTGATATGACTCAAAAGAGAGACCTCTCAGTTGGGCGATCCTCTGGGGATTTGGGATGACATTGGGCCACTTGTGGTTCATAATACCAGGATGACACTAATAATTCTCATATCTCAGGTTCAGCCCCACCGGGCCTTTCTGGAGCCTTTCAAGCCCATGGATCTCCTAGGATAATTTCAGCCTGACTTTGGAGTACAAGACGGAGAGAAGACAAGACGTATTACTCAGAACAGGTAATGAGTATGTCACATACCAGGAGATCTGGCATGTATGATCATGATGAGTGATTTTTATCATCACCATGGGTTTCATCAGAGTTTGTTTTTAATGTGCTTTTAACGTGTAAGGTTAGAAAAGTGAATTCCTGGAAAATAGTTAAAGGCTGGATCATGTATGCATTTTATAGTTTAGGCTAAGGACACTTTAACCAGAGCTTGAGAACTTATTTGATAATAATACCCAGGTATTTTCTGAGGGAATATGGTATTAAAGATTTTGACAGTATGAAAGTAACAGAGATGATTAAAAATACTATTTTTCCTGCACTATATATCCTGGTCTGTATTTGAAAGATAAAGTAGTCTATTGGAAAAGACCTTGATGTAAGAAATTCAAGTCTTTAAACACAAGCTCTGAACTTGTACTTTTTAAAAAGAGGATGAGAATATTGTCCTGAAATGCTTTTTGAACATTACAAATGATTGAATTGCACGCTAAAATAATTTAGGTATCCAGTTTAACACAAATGAGGAAAATAGGTGGTTCTGTTTAGGGATTTGATTGAAGCACTCCTGCAAAAATGCCTGAGAAAACCCAGATTTATAACAGTAGACAGAGTATTAGGTCTAAAAAAGTTTTAGAAAAATATATTTAGCCAATATAGATTACTTTGTTTTTGAAGAAGATGGCCTTTAGTAAAAAGTTACAAAGTCCGTAATGAAGAGGTCTAATACATGAGTCATTAATACATAATAATATAATTCAATTGTAAGCCTTCCCATTATAGCTACCTGTAGGAGTAGATAAAGGAGCTTTGTTAAATGTGAGACTCCATCTTTTCTACTTAAGTCTTTTAAACTTTTAGGTTCCTTAGAAATTTCACCACTAAAATAAAAGTGTGATTGCTAAATCAGTATTAAGATAGTTGGAATCCAACTGTGGGTTTTTTTCTGGATTATTTATTTTTTATTTCTTCTTGGATTCTATACATAAATACTATGTTTTGACACTTTGAAACTTAACAGAAAAAGAGAATTTCTATAATGGGATTCCTACTTATTTTATATCTGTGAAAGCTACTTGCTTGTTTTTTTTCTATATACAGACAGAAAAATGTATGGAGCTAATTTTAAAAATACAATACATTTTCTCTTATGGAATTTAAATTAAGCTTGACAGTAACTTATTTTTTTTGTCCTTGGGGAGAAGTATCAGAAGTTAGTTTCCTCTCTGAGGGCAGATCAAATTTATTGTGTGACAGATGGTTTCTTAAACACACTGGATCTGTCCTAAAATGCTGTCTTTGGGATATAGGCCTTAAGACTACCTTCTAAGTAAAGGAGGTCTTTGGGATACTTAGGAATGTAAGCTCTCTTGGATAAAGTCTGAGATGAACTATCCTTATTTTAAAATCCACTTATAGAGTAGAGTGTTAAAGATTAGCTTTGAGTGTACTGACTTTGTCATAATCTTATCATACGTTAACATTTACATTTCTCTGGAAGGATTGTGGAGAGAACTTTTTCTGCTAGAGAAAGTGCACAACATGGTAAAGACAATTATAGAAAGGGAAATGGCAGCCCTGCCCAAGCAGTGAGAACACTAAAATGATCTGGAGGGCTCCAGAGACAGCTGGCAAGGTTCAAATTCAGGCTCTACCAAATAACTATGTAAGGTTCCACTGTACAGTAGAACCTCATACTGTTGTCGTAAGGATTATATAAATGTGTCTGGCATACAGTAAGCACTCAGTAAATGTTTGCTATTATTATTACAGCTAAAAACTTAAGCTACTTACCTATGCCTATAGAGACAGTGAGTGATGAGCTAAAACTATGGTCGAGCTGGTTATGTTTGAGGTTTCTTTAGAATCTTAATCCATCTGGCCTCATGATCACTTTCCTTGTTATACTACCTGTAATGTAACCCCCGCCCCCCAATTGTCTAGCCTATATCCCCTTTCAGAATTCTCTTACCCTAATGTTCATCTGGGTTTCTTGTTCACTCTTCCCCTTCTTGTAAAATCCTCCAACAGTGCCCTCCAGAACTCCCAACCCATGAAGCACAAACTCTTCTCCATTCTCCGCCCTTGTAAATGCTGTGATCTAGTTTATTCACAAACTGGCTTTTTGCCCAGGACATTACTTCCTTTCTCAGCAAGAAGCTGCTCGTTCCTCGCTCTTTAGTGCCATTTACAGACTATCTCCCTTTAAATTTCTTCACCCGCAGCCACCTCAGGTATCTCGCTGGCGTTATTTGGAGAGTGTTAGGAATGATAATGATTGATATTGGCAGGGTGAAATGGGGACAATGCATATAAAATGCATGACATAGTGATAAGAATGTACAAAACTCTTAGTAAATTTTAGTTTTTACTATTCACCTTGTAAGTGAAGGAGGTCTTTGCGGGGGGTACTTGAGCATGTAAACTGTCTGGGAAGTCTGAGACGGACTGTGATATCCAAAGTATCTACCCCTGAGAAATCACGCATGAAGCCTATACCTGACTGTGATCTCCTCTGTTCTAGTCCACTGACCTTCCCGCTGTTTTCCAGTTCTATCCCTACACGCCTGTTCTCTCTTCCCTCTCTAGGCTGGAACACAGTTTGGATTCTGTATTTCCGTGAGACATTTTTTGGTCAATGCTCTACACGCCCTTTGTTGTCTTTTATTCACATCTATCTGACAGGTTCTCACACCTCGATGCGCCCAGCTGCTCATCTTGCCTTCACCTGCACCCAGGCTGCTTAGTGCTGCTGGGGAGAATCACACTACTGAGTAGATTTATATCACTGGAAATCCATTGTCACCAACTTCACCTGCATTCCTCTGTTTCCTGTCAATCCCCACTATGTTTTATTAGTCAACTCTGTATTCCATTCTCCACTGTGCTTATTTCAAACCTTTCTCAATCTCTTCGAAGCACACATTCTCTACTGGTGTGTTTATTCCAGCTCTATTCACAGTAATAAAGATGTGGAATCAACCTAAGTGTCCGTCAACAGAGGATTAGATGAAGAAAGCATGGTATATATACACAACGGAATACTATTCAGCCTTAAAAAATGAAATCATGTCTTTTACAGTAGCATGAATGGACCTGGAGGCCATTATCTTAAGTGAAACAACTCAGACACAGAAAGAAATATGCCACACATTCTCACTAATAAGTGGGAGCTAAAAAAATGAATACACATGGACGTAGCATGTGGAATGGTGGATGGTGGAGACTCAGAGGGTGGGGGCTGAGTGGGTGGGGACAGGGTGGAGGATGGGGGATTACTTGGTGGGTACAGTGTGTGTTGTTCCAGTGATACACTGAAGGCCCTGACGTCACCACAATGCAATATATCCGTATAGCAAAACTGCACCTACACCCCATGAATAATACAAAGAAATACATAAAAGTTCCTCTTTATGTTATTATTTCTTAATTATTTTTAAGTGGACATAAAATTGTATGTATTTATCATGTACAACATGTTTTGAAATATGCATACATTGTGTAATGGCTTAATTAAGTTAATTAACATATGCCTTATTTCACATAAAAATTCCTCTTTTCTCAAGTACATATACCCTTAGAGTAGAAATGAGTTAGTCAGTTGTTCATTTATTAAAAAATTATTGAGCACCTTCTGGTTGTTGTTACAGATTCAGGGATCCAACGGTGAAAAGGCGGGTGAAGTGCAGTCCTGGAGATGACTGGTGTTTATCCTCAGTGGCACTAAACCTGCTTTCTTAGCCTTTAGGAGAGAAGTGGAGACAAAAGGCAGACAATCACCAAGTAATCAGTAAAACAATAAAAGAATTTCAAATAGTGGGAAGAGAGATAAAACAGTAATAGCAGTGTGATAAGATAGAGACTGGACACTGAGGTGGGAGACTAAGCTTGGTGATTAGGGAAAGCCTCATTTTATCCAATACAATGAAGGTAGTTTCACTGTTAAGAAACTACATTTTACATTAAATAAAGCATATGCATGTTTATTTACTTAATCGATTTTCAAAATAGCCTTTCTTGTTATACAAATGAAAACTGAGGCTCAGGGAATTAAGGAAATTGCCCAAGGCCGCACAGAGCTACTGAATGACAGAGCTGGGATTCAAACTTTGGTCCAGTTAACGGAAGCCCGTGCGGTCTCCACTTTACCGTATTGCCACTCACCAAGACCGGCTCTTGAGAAAAAGGGCTTGTGTTGCTGTTAGGTTTGAGCATCTTTTCTAGCATGTTTGAGGCCTTTTTAATCTGTACTCTACATCAAAAATAGTAATACACAATATTTATATGCTTTTTCCAGGCACTTCTATTAACATCTCACTATCGCATAACCACTTACTAAGATACAGGAACTTACAGACCATTTGAGACCATCTTTTATAACTCAAATGTAAAAGTTAAGTGATTTCTCCATGGTTACATGGCTGTAGAATGCTTGATCTACATGAACTGGATTCACGGATATAAACTAGATTTGGGTTTCTTGACTTTCAATCGTTTTTTCCCCCAGTATGCCTATACAAAATGCTTCCTTTAAAAGTACTGAGTTTAAGAGTTTAAATCCAAATAAAACCCGAGAATTCATTTTCATTTCTGAGGCAAAATACCAAGGATTTCTCCACTGGTACTGGTAACTTCATTGGGAATAAATGATAAAGGGAATAAAAGGGAGTAAGATAAACACTGTGCAGGTGTCACATTAAATTACCCCCTTTCCCCTATAATTTTATATAAATGAAAGAAAGGACACTCAACAGCACACTCCCTGAGATGCTATTCAAATTCAAGTACTTCTGAAATACAAATACGTGATAATTCTTTGCAGCTTATGAAAAAAAAGAAAGCCATTTTTGTTTGCTGTGTTGTTCATGTATATATGTTGTTTTATAATTATTAAGGACGTATACTCTCTTTCTCTGCAGATCTTATAAATCCTTTGCCTTTTTATGATTATTAAGGAAGTATTAAGGAAATTTAAAAAGAGGCTTTTTGATGTTATTCTGTCATTGTACTTCCAAAAGAAAATATATTCCCCTCTTTTCCAAAAGTCAGCTGGGTTTTATCAGCTTTGCAAAATGATGAATGAACGCCTTGTTCATTATTATTGCTTAAGTCATTCTTATTTATGCCAGTGATTCACGGATTATGTTTTGATTGTTCTTGAGAGATGAAAACACTTTCTTGCTGATGAATAAACACTGCCACTTTTAAAATATTTGTATGCAAAATGTCTTTAAAGCCATTATGAAATGCTTTGCAAGAGTATTAGGAAGCTGTTTTTCGAAAGGCACTTTTTTCTCCACCTTTTCTTTCATGCTAAGCAGCCCAACTGAAAGGCTTCTCAGTTAACTTGCTTAAGCAATACCAGTGTTTTAGTGTAATGAATAACTTTTTATAGAAGACAATCACACACAATTCAACATGCCGGTGTTTCTGTTTCTGTGCTCCACCAATGCAGGGATTCCGTGGTAGAATCTCTTTCTTTGAGAAAGCTGAAGCGATCAAAACCCTGATTAACCTCTGATATTCACGTGGTGCTCTTGACCTTGAGGACTGCAGCAGTCACAAAGCTGTAATGGCAGCCATATGCTTAGGGTATTGTGGGTGTGGGTGACCCAAATGTGAACTTGGGGGGTGACTGATGCTAACTGCTATTTGTTTCAGGTTTGGTGTGGAGATTACTGATGAAGAGTTTGACTTACTACTTGACAGAATCCCCCTTGATGAAGATGGAAATGTCAGAGGCCCCGGTTCGTGGCCACGTTGGACACTTGGCACTCCTTTTCCACATTTTCTCATTTCTTAGTCATTTTTTATTCTTGTTTTTAATACAGAGAATGTACCCCTGAAAGTACTAGGCTTATTTAAATTTTCTCTTTATTGCCTGGTATCTCACTTACTAATATTTTATAAACGACAAAGGATTTTTGAAAAAGCGTTGTTAACAAAAAGCTAGGATTTTTGAATGATGAACTACGGCAATGCATTTGAAAACATTTAATGTCTCAGTACCTAAGCAGTGGACGTGGGAGGATAATGTGTGACTGAGGTGACAAACGAGGCATGTAAACTGCGTTTGCAGAGTTGGGAAGAAAATTGCAGTAAGTGGCAAACGTCAAATCCTGAAGATGACTGGTGTTCAGTCCCCAGCCGCACTAAACACTCCCCGCACACTGACCTTTTACCCCTGGATCGCCTCCCAGGGGACTCCCATTAACAAGACTTCTTGCTGCCTTCTTCCCAGAGGATTCTGCCTGGACGGTAGAGGACACCCGTTGCCAATGATTGTCTTAAAGGCGGAGCAAGAATGCTTTCTGAAATATTCTCACTTTGTATTTCTCTATCAGGGACCACAGTTATTACTCTTTTCTAAAATCTTTTCGTGGATTCTATAGGGTAGTTCAAGGCTAAAGTAATTGAAATTCTGATCAGTATTGAGCATTTGATTCCTTAAGTACTTTAAGGCATGTTGCAGTCCCGGGCATCATGATTTTGGCTGAAACCATTGAAAGACGGGTTGCTTCTTCCTAAAGATACTTCTTTTTTCCAGGGCAGTTTCAGAATATGACTGTCTTCATCCAACACGCCTCCTGGACCATCCTCCAAATCTCATGACTATCTCTTTAGCCATGAAACCCACCCAAATTTTCTGTTAGTTCTTGCTAGCAGGGTGGAAGTTACCAACCTGGTTTGACTTGAAGGGCATGAAAAGAGCATGCTCCAAGCCAGAGAATGCCCTCAGAGTCTCGGGGGCTGACAGCAGGAGGCCCTCAAAGTGAAAAAGAACCAGGAGTGGTGAGGAGGTACCAGCAGGCCTTACCTAAAGGTGGGCATCTCCGACAGTGCAGTTATTCCATAGTATTTCCCAGGCTTCCGTGGTCTTCTTTCACGGGGCATCTTAGAGGCTGGCGTTCCACAGAACATGGGAGGCTCCCTGGGTCAAATTGGTTAATCAGCTAAGTAGCCTTAATTTTAGGAGGTCAAGATGAGGTGCCTAAGAGAATGACATGAAGGGGGTTGGTGTTTGTTTTTTGTTTTTGTTTTTTGAGACGGAGTTTTGCTGTCACCCAGGCATGATCTCGGCTTACTACAATATCTGCGTCTTGGGTTCAAGCGATTCTCATGCCTCAGCTTCCTGAGTAGCTGGGATTACAGGCATGTGCCATGATACCCAGCTAAGTTTTAAATATTTTTAGTAGAGATGGGGTTTCACCATGTTGGCCAGTCTGGTCTCAAACTCCTGACCTCAGGTGATCCTCCCACTTCAGCCTCCCAAAGTGCTGGGATTACAGGTGGGAGCCACTGCACCTGGTCTGTTTGTTTGTTTAAATATGGGGCCTGCAGGGAAAGAGAAATACAAGAAAGTTGTTATGAAGAGAGTTTCCTGAACTTTCAGAAGGCAGCAGGGTAAAGCCACTGAGGCACAAGTGTTGGTGCCAAAGGAAAGGGGCATGGTGGAAAGAGAGGTGGGAGCACTAACCATGAAGCTGACATGAGCCTGGCCTATTAGCCTCGATTTTAGGTGGATAAATCACATCTCTTTGACTTCTTTATATTATTGACTCAACACATAAAATTACAGATTGTAATTTCATTGTTAATATTAACAAATGCCTGTACTTATCTGTATTTTACACACCCAATCTCATTATTATTCCATTTGCCTGTGACAAAACTGATACAGAGAAAGATTCAGTGAGTTTCACAGGTTCCATAAGCCAGCGAAGGCACACTGCCAGTTAAACCCAGGTCCATCTGATTTGAAAGTCCGCGAGCGTTTCCTCTACTTCACACTGCATTTCTGAATTATACAACAACAAAATAATTGTTCCCTTTAACAAGCGTGTATTACGTGCCCCATAACCTGCTAAGAGCTTGATACGCATTATTTCATTTAAAGCTAAAGACCATTTTCCTACGTTCTGCTTAAGTTCACTGATGGATGACTAACGTCCATCTCATCCGCCTGACGGGAGGATGGTATTTGCTGCTTGGTGCTGTGCTGTGAAGGCCCCTGACCTGGGCGTTAGGAGGCTTGGATGACAGCAGCCATAGTTTGCTCTTCCATTTAATAATGTCATGGCTTCCTCAAGTCTTTCATATCCCCTTGCTCTATTTTTCTCATCTATAAAATGAAAAGTTTAGGTCAAAAGATCTTCATAAAGTTCTGCTTGAAGCGCTTTATATTCTTATAAATATTAATGGAGATGTGAGGCAGCCACTTAATATGGCTTAAGAAGATGCTGTACCTGAAGCGTATGTTTTCCTGGTAAATAAGAAGAATTAACAAGCCATAACACTGAAATAACAAATTCATTTTTAGAGTCTATTATATAATCATCAGATTAAAATCAATACGATAAACACTTATGAGTACTTGTGTTTACTGTAAAGCATTTCTAAATTTTGAAAATAAATTTTTTTGATAATATTGTCATAAAATCTGCATATATGATTGAGAACTTCTTTTCTTATATATACACAAATGGAAATGAAAAAGAAACATAACTGTCAAATTTAGGAGAATGAAGAACAGTAGAAAACTGTATGTAGAATGGTTAACAGTTCCAGGAGTATTTTTATTTATTTATTTTTATTTTTATTTTTGGTAGAGACGGGGTTTCACCATATTGGCCAAGATGGTCTCGATCTCTTGACCTCATGATTCCCCCCGCCTTGGACTCCCAAAGTGCTGGGATTACAGGCGTGAGCCACCATGCCCGGCCTCCGGGAGTATTAACAATATAAAAATCCATATGACTTTAGACTATTTTTATTTTACTTCTTTGTATGTCCTACCTCTAGTGCCCCAGTTGTTGTTGTTGTTTTTTTTAATTTTTTTTTTTTGAAGCAGAGTTTCGCTCTTGTTACCCAGGCCGGAGTGCAATGGCACGATCTCGGCTCACCGCAACCTCCGCCTCCTGGGTTCAGGCAATTCTCCTGCCTCAGCCTCCCGAGTAGCTGGGATTACAGGCGTGCGCCACCATGCCCAGCTAATTTTTGTATTTTTAGTAGAGATGGGGTTTCACCATGTTGACCAGGATGGTCTCGATCTCTTGACTTCGTGATCCACCTGCCTGGGCCTCCCAAAGTGCTAGGATTATAGGCAATGCCCTAGTTTTTAAGGATACACATAAATACTAAAACTTTTTTAAAAACCGAATTAAACTCAGGAGGCTAAGGCAGGAGAATCACTTGAACCCAGCAGTTTAAGTCCGTACTGAGCTGTGACTGTGCTACTGCACGCCAGCTGGAGTGATCAAGTGAGACCCCACCTCTAAAACAAAGAAACAAAAAACTGAACGAAAATTAACGTTTTGACTGTAATAAGATGTTTGAAAAAACTGGCAAAAAATGACAAAGTCCATTAAGAGCAAACGGTAGACTTTGTAACAGGCTCACACTAGTTTAATCACCAAGAAACCTATGGAATTATTTCGCTGGGTTTGTGACTTATCTCCTTCATTTTATAGGTAGCTGTCCCACCAAGAATACCACATCCAAGAACAGGATTCTATTTCCAAAGTGTGTGTGTGGACTTGAGAAGCAGCCTTTGGAAGATGGGGCTGCCCAGACTTTCTAGAGCCTACTTTAATTCCTCGGAGATCTGCAGTCTCCAGGTTGTCGGTCATCAGGACCGTGGCTGTTGGTAAGACATAGTGCTTCCTTTTGGGTGAAGAATTCTCTATTACTTTCCGAGGGCTGCCATCATGAAGTACCACAAACTGGGTGGCTTAAAATGACGGGGAAGTATTCTCTCACAGCTCCACAGGCTGAAAGTTCAACATCAAGGCGTGAGCCGGGGCACGCTCCCTCTGAGACTTGGGAGAATCCTTCCCTCCGCTTTCCTTGTTCTCGGAGTGACTAGTAATCCTGGTGAGCCTTGTTCTGCGGCTGTTTCACTCTCATCTTTTCCTCTGCTGACATATGGCACACTGAGTGTCTCTGTCTCTGTGTCCAAATTTCCTTGTTCTCCTACAAACACCAGTCTTATCAGATTGAGGGCTCAACCTACTCCAGTATGACCTCGTCTTAACGAGTAACATCTCCAACTACCCTGTTTTCAAATGAAGGCGTATTCTCAGGTGCTGGGGATAAAGACTTTGACGTATCATTTGGGGACACAATTTAATACATGACAAACCCTGTTATAGACCTAGCATGTCTCGTTTCTCACAGATTTCACTGGGGGAGGGCATAGATAAGAATGAGCTCTTGTGCATTCTCTGGCAACAGCAGTACCAGTCGCTAACATTTAATGCCTACTACTTGTCAGGCACTAAATATTAACACATTTCATTCTTACAACAGCCCTGTTTCACATATGGGAAAACTGGGGCACAGAAGGTCACTTGCCCATTATTCTCCGGTTAGCAGTGGCGGAGCCAGTGGCAAACCCAGACTGCACCTGTCCAGAGCCCACACACTCAATGGCATCCTGCCTTCTGGACAGTCAGGACAAGCAATGATGCCCCTGCTACCCACCACTGTGCCAACGAGTAAGGTTACACTTGAAATGTGCCTTGCAATACCAGGGTTAAATTTCACACGCAACTCACGCATGTTTCCTGGTTACTTATTATTTTTTTAAGTCTGAATTCAATTTAGATTTAGTATTGAAAAAAGAACATTAAAACCTCTCAATGATTTTTATATGGATTACGTATTGAAATGATTATATTTTAGATATATTGGGCTACGTAAAAGATATCATTAAAATTAATTCCACTTAAAAACATCTATCTTTTTTAGTGTGCTATTAGCAAATTTAAAATTACGAATGGAGTATACAGTATTTTCCTATAGGCCAGCCCTGAATTAGACAGAAAATCTTTTAAATTAGAGTAGGCAGCATGATAGAAGAAAAGAATTGTTTCAGTCCTTCATCCCAAGTAATTCGGTTCCTAAAGTAATCCTTAGTTTCTCTTTGTATAAAATGTGATAGAAAACCTGAATTTTCTCACAAGTTTAACTAATGAATTGAAGAAAATCAATTATGAACCATTTTGTCCAATGTTTGCATGAGGCTAGACAATTATCCACCGAAGCCAGAATATTATAATAAAATAGCTAATCCAGATTAAATATAAATTTTAAGTATTTATTTATTACTTTCTTTAAGCAAATAGATGTGCAACTTTGAACTACAGACATTGAACAGAAAAAAAGTATTTCTGTTGTTTTTTTTAAAAACAGAGTCTCGCTCTGTTGCCCAGCCTGGAGTGCAGTGGCACAATCTTGGCTCACTGCAACCTCCACCTCCTGGGTTCAAGTGATTCTCCTGCCTCAGCCTCCCGAGTAGTTGGGATTATAGGGATGTGCTAAGATGCTGGGCTAACTTTTGCATTTTTAGTAGAGATGGGAATTCAGCATGATGGCCAGGCTGGTCTCAAACTTCTGACCTCAGGTGATCCTCCTGCCTTGACCTCCCAAAATGCTGTGGCGACGCCTGGCTTGCTTGGCTCCAAGGTTAATACTTTTCTCATTATACTTTCCAGGTAATGAAAATTATGCTTAATAATTTTTAGGTGAGGTGATGATCAGCTATGCTTCCCCTCGGCAGTGGAAGATGTATGTAGATAAATTAGATGAGGCTAAAGCTTCTATGCTTTTATTTGACATGACGTTTTAATTTGTGTAGCCAATTTTTACATAAACCAGAATCTCAAAACTTTTACTCTGTACTTTGCTGGGACTGCAAAGTTGCCACAGAGCCACTTTCATATGAATAAATTCATATGAAAATAAAACCACTTAAAGAAGATAAGATGGCCGAGTGTGGTGGCTCACACCTGTAATCACAGCACTTTGAGAGGCCGAGGCAGGCAGATCACCAGGTCAAGTGATCGCGACCATCCTGGCCAACAGGGGGAAACCCCGTCTTTACTAAAAATACAAAAATTAGCTGGGCATGGTGATGTGAGCCTATAGTCCCAGCTACTTGGAGGGCTGAGGCAGGAGAATCACTTGAACCCGGGAGGTGGAGGTTGCAGTGAACTGAGATCATGCCACTGCACTCCAGCCTGGCAACAGAATGAGACTCCCTCTCAAAAAAAAGAAAAAAGAAGAAGATGAGATATTCAGACGTTTCAAGCACTTCCTGTTTTTTGTTTTTTTTTTTTTTGTCACTTACTCTTATCATCTTTTAGAAAAGCAGTAAAGGGTTATTATAAATATCCAAATATAAAAGTGTATATAAAATGAAGAGGGAAAGTTTCTGCCCTTATCACCTTTGCCCAAATCCAGCCTTCAAAAAAAAAAACCAATTATTAATTTGAGCGTACAAGTCGGCACATTAGTTTCATGGTTCTAAATATTTTATAAGAGATCAGTGTTCAGTAGAACCTACCTATGGCTGTAGCCTCTGACGATGCTATATGTATGCAGGGTTTTCTCTGTCCTTCGTAATCATACATTGGATAAAATGTATACATCTCACATTCATTAAAGATGGTAGTTCCACTAAAAATATGTGTATTTTCCAACAGATTTTTTTTTAGTAAATAATAATGAAAAGCTGAGTTAGAATCTCCAGAGACGTTTATTAGAAAAAGCACACTTCTTTCACCTCCCAATTTCATTGTTTGTTGGCACGGCTTATTACGGGGTTTAGAAAGATCCTCTGTGTGGTCTCATGAATATCCATAAAATTAAATTAGTTATTGGTTTTGTTTAGATTTGTTGTGGTTGGCAGAGAAATGGCATTATTTTAAACAATGAACCATGGAAAAAAAATAATTAGGTCAGGGTAGGAGTTAGGTTATAGTTTCTTTAGCCTCATTTTAGTACATTTACCACAAGTCATTTGAAGTGTTAAACATGTTTATCCCATGCATATAATTACATAAAAATCATAGAAATATTCCTTCTTTGTGAAGGTCACTTTCTTTATGTTATGGGGACTCATCTATGAATACTTAGGTTTGGCCTTTAGGGGAGTCCCACGGTATAGTGAGCTGTAAGATTTCCCCGCTGGACTGTAATTGAGTCTTGTCAAATGGGAAACCACTTGTATCTCCGCATCATAATTAAGGAGTTTTGGGAAATTTATTGACAAATGGTCTAATTCTGAACATGTTATCTGAGAGCAAGAGGACAGTATTTGCAAGTCAAATGATGGAAGAATCTATTGTCAGACAATTAAAACATCTTCACTGAGACCCACCGAACTAACCTTTGTGTGGTCTTGTTCTCAGATGGAAATGATTCCTAGAGACAGTTGACAGCATGAATTTTGAGACGACACTAAATGTGTGTGGGAACTTGCAAAAACAAATCTAAAAAAAGATTTAGGATCAGGGTTTTCTTTGCTACTTTTTTGGTATGATGGTGTGGGAGTGGGAGCTGGGGCCAGGGGTTGTGGGGAGGCATCAAGGGAAAGGTGACGTTAGGGATGCTGGTCAAAATTAGTCCTGGTCGAGCCCAGGGTGAACAATGACAGTGTTGTGGACTGCCTCCACGACTTAGATATTCTTCCCATGTCAGCATAATCACTACTGGGAGGTAGCTCGATTAAGGATTACCATATCATTAATAGTATCCATGACTTTTGTTCAAAGGCTACTTGTGCAATGTTGCCTTGTGGATGAAGCGCCGTAATCCTCTGAGCCGCAGCTGTAGAGAGGGAGGCTCCTTAGAGCCGCCCACACTGACTTCCCTGTCCCCTGGATCAGTTCTAAAAAACAGACAGAAACAACAGTCAACTCAAAGCCAGAAAAAAGAAACATCCATTCTACATTTCCACATTCATCCCCAAGCTTCAATCCCTGCCAGTGTCTCCCATTCATCTCTTCTCTAACATCCAGATCACCACTCGGATGGTGGCCAGATTAAAGGGGAACAATGCAGTTTTAAATGTAAAGTTTGCATCTGATTTTTTTCTTTGCATGAGAAAAAGCACATTGATTCCCTCTAAGTGTCTGTCTAATGCTCAGCCGGTAGTCTGCCAGGACTTTCTTACTTGCCTTGGCAACATGAGGCATGCTTGTGTCTTCCCACTGTCCAGCGTTTCTCAGTTTATTCGGTGAAGACAACGCTGAAATTTGTACTTGGGTAGGAAATTGTACATGCAGTTAGTAAACAGTGGGGTTGTGCTTTATTTAATTAATATTGTTGCTGCTAAGAAGCTTCTGCTTCCAGTGGGTGTGAGCACTGAAAGAAATGGGAAAACTGAGCGGTAGCTTGAAACCTAAGCACACACACCCAGATACTGGGATTGGTCAGAAGAAAATCACCGAGTGAACCACATTTGGTAAAACTCCTTGTGTTGGAAGACGGGACAGAATGGATGTCTCTTTAGAACACATTTCATTTCATAACGATTGCCCCTCAAAAAGGGAAGGGAAAGGGAAGAGGGAAAAAATGACCTTTATTTGTTTGGCAGAGGAAAATGTTAAAAAGTAATATGGAGCCTAGAGTTCAATTTCTTGGTTTTTAGCTTCATAATCACACTTTTATTCCAAATTGAAATGAAGCCTTGCCTTGACTTACTCATAAATCTTTATTTTAAAGAGCTTTAGTCTTTTATTCTTATCTCATTGCTTCATTTAAACATCACTCTAATTTTATTTTGTGTAAAAAAACACTGACAACTTCTATCTATCCTACCTGAAATTGTCTTTCTGAGGATGTCTATAGAAAGATTGGGAC